CATTGTCAACGGGGGAAAACTGAGAGTTTTTCCTCTCCAGTCAGGAACAGGACAGGGATGTCAACTCTCAATACTGTTATTTAACACATTACCAGAAGTCCTGGCCTCAGCAACCTAAAGATTCCACCCAAAACTTGCTAGAACTAATACATGAACTAAACAAAGTTATGGGATACAAAATCAATGTACAGAAATCTGGTGCATTACTACATACCATAATGAAGTAACAGAACAAGAAATCAAGGAATCTAACCCATTTACAATTGCACCAAAAACCAAAAGACACCAAGGAATAAACCTAAGTAAAGAGGTAAAATATCAATACTCTGAAAATTATAGAACACTGATGAATGATATTGAAGAAGACAGAAAGAAATAGAAAAATATTCCATGCTCTTGGGATGGAAAAAAAAAATATTGTTAACATGTCTATACTATGCAAAGCATCTACACATTTAATGCAATTCTATCAAAATACTACCAGAATTTTTCACAAAGCTAGAACAAACAGTTCTAGAATTTGTATAGAGCCACAAAAGACCCAGAATAGGCAAAGGAATGTTAAACGAGAAAGCAAATTGAGATGCATCACAATTCCCTATTTCATTCAAGTTATATTACAAAGCTGTAATTGTCAACACAGCGTGGTACTGCCATAATAATGGGCACATAGATCAATGGAATATGTTGGAAAATGCAGAATGAACCCACAACTATATGGATAACTAATCTTTGACAAAGCAGGAAAGAATATGCAATGGGGGAAAAAAAGACTGTGTCCTCAACAAATGGTGCTGAGAAAACTAGACAACAACAAGCAAAGTAATGAATCTGGACCACTTTCTTACACTAGATACAAAAATAAATTCAAATGCACTAAAGACCTTAGTGTGAGACAGGAAAACATTAAAAAACTAGAGGAGAACAAAGACAGTAACCTCTCTGACATCAGCCAAAGCAATTATTAGATATGTCTCCTGAAACAAAAGGAAAAATAATCTATTGGAGCTTCATCAAGATAAAAAGCTTCTGCACACTGAAGGAAACAATCAACAGGCAGCCTACAGAATGAGAGAGTATATTTGTATGCCATATCTGGAAAAGGATGAGTTTCCTAAATCTATAAAGAATTTATCAAACTCAACACCAAAAACAAACAATACAGTTAAGAAATGGGCAGAAGACACGAATTGACACTTTTCCTAAAAGGACATCCAGATGGCCAACAGACAAATGAAAAGATACCCAAAATCTTCATCATCACGGAAATGCAAATCAAAACCATGATGAGTTACCACCCCACACCTGTCAGAATGGCTGAAATTAACAACTCAGGGAACAATAGATGTAGGTGAGGATGTAGAAAAAGGAAAACCCTCTTGCACTGTTGGTGGGAATGCAAACCGGTGCAGTCACTCTGGACAACAGTATGGTGGTTCCTTGAAAAGTTGAAAATAAAACAACCCAGCAATTGCTCTGCTTGGTATTTACCCAAAGGATACAAAACTATAGATTTGAAGGGGCGAATGCACCCCAATGTTTATGGCAACATCATCAACACTAGCCAAACTATGGAAAGAGCCCAAGTGTCTGTCAGCTAATGAATGGAGAACGAAGTGATATGTATGTACAATGGAACATTAGTGATCAAAAAGAAAGAAATCTTGTTATTTGCAATGACATGGATGGAGTTAGAAAATATAATGCTAAGTAAAATAAGCCAGTCTAAGAAAGACAAACACCATATGATTTCATTCATATGTGGAATTTGAGAAACAAAACACATGAACATAAGGGGGGAAAAGAGAAGATCAGCCTCTTAACTATAGAGACAAATGTGTTGCTTACTACAGGGGAGGTGGGTGAAAGGATGGGTGGATGAAGACTACAATGATCTTGGTGAGCGCTGAGTAATGTACAGAATTATTGAATGACTATACTCTACACCTGAAATGCATATGACTATATGCTAACTGTGCTGGCTTAATATTTAATAAAAAAATAAAGTCTTATAATATAAATAATGGTTATATTCTTCATGTATGGTTTTATAATTCATAAAATGCATTATATACAAAATAAAAATAAGTGAAAATAAATATATTAAAACCCTAGCAAGTGATTTTTAGGGTATATCTAAGCTCGTGCTCAATGACATTTTCAGTTTTCTTTATTTTACCAAAATCTTATGTGAGCACATATTAAGTTATTAATTGCAGAAATCAACTTATCTTCAAAATCTTTTCTGTTGCAATCCCACATCATTTCTACTAGTTCTGCCTTGGTGGATTCATGCCAACTTTAAACATCAAAATGATAATTTACATGTTGTGAATCTGTTCGCTACAGTTATTTAAGCTGCATATCCCTAGCAGGTGTAGTCTAAACACATGCATACACATTTCAATAAACAATAGGAATACTTCTTTCCATATACACAAGGTGTGGGCTCACTCTTTGACAATGAGACCATTTAAAAGGAATTTGGGCTATCAGTTCATTTAGCCTTGTGCTGTCCTGAGTAAACACCTCCAAATTCATCATTCATGGAGTTTCATGGCTAGCATCTTTCCGCTAGCTTTAACATTTGCAAACCATCCGTGTGCGTATGTTATTCTGCCAGTGCAGTTGGGAATAGAGTTAATTATTTCTTCTCTGGACACAATGACCAATTAAACAGGAGGGACTCTGGAATCCCTAGGGCCAAGATAGAGGACACGGCACTGTGGGAATAGGTAGCCCTTTCTTAAAGGGCTATGCTGATGTTGATATCTATAAAATCACTTCCCACTGTAAACTCCACTAGGAATGTGGTGAGCAGAGCCAGAGTCAATCAAACATATGCCCCAGTGACTGAACCACATACCTATAACCCATGTTTATTTTATCCTAAGGACTCTTCTCATATTCTATGTTTGTGATGCAGCCCAGGTTGGATGCTAATATCATTCCGATCTGTGGGGAAACGATGGTTGAATAAGAATGTCACAAGGGTTGACAGCTCAAAGAGGCTCTGCATTTATCAACCTTTTCTGAAACATGCACACAGAAAGGCAGGGGCATCTCTCTGACACTCAGATGGAAGGTGAGTAATGGCTGCAGCAGGGAATTCTGTCCCTTGCTCACCTCAGCCATGTCCTTCTTCCGGGTAAGTAATCACTGTTCAGTTTGTTTCCTAGGAATCTTAAAGTAGATGTCAAGTATTTTCAGTGATTCAAACAACCCTGGTTATCATTTCACCCTTCAAAATGCACTTTTAATCATCTTGTCCCATGCATTAGAACTGTCAGCGGGATGTTTTTAAGAGAAAAAAAAAGAATTAGTGGTATTTAAAGTTTCTTTTAATTACTGCAAGATATATGAATAGGAAAGAGATGAGATGACAATGAAATGAACGTGTGCTTGTCAAGAGGTGAGTTCACTTTTCTGATAACAGAAAAGAGCAATCGGAATGAGCAGATCCCACTGACATATTACAATTGGGTAGAACAGAAGACGTGAAAATTAGAGAAAATACAGCTGCTGTGTAGAGTCCTCTTACAGCCCTCCCCCTTCAGATAAGCCAGTACCTGCGACTAACCATTGACTTGACTTCCATTTACTGGAAACCATGTTCTCAGTATTACGCTAGACGCAAAGAAAAAGTGACATATATGTTTAATCATTTCATGTTATAAAATTATGAACTTACAATAAGTGTTGACACCACCAACAGTAATTCAGTTGTCTGTCTTCTGATACACATACCAGGCCAAGATACACATACCAACACCAAGACCCACTATGATGTTAATGATTAATGCAAATGATGGATATCAGTGATACTCTAAGCGATGAGTAGCTCACACTCAGTGAAGCTTGCTGTCTCCAGCACCGACCTGACTTTTGACGTGAGCACTGCCTCATTTGACTTTCACAGGATCTCTTATTATCAGTAGAGCGATTTGTTCTAAATGTGCCATGAAGATGTTTGCCCTGTGCTCACCATTGCATGGCTGAGAATATATGTGGGCAGGTTGTACATCCAAAGGCTGTGTTCCTTTATTTTTTTAATGTTGTATTTATTTCTGAGAGAGAGAGACAGCATGAGAAGGGGAGGGTCAGAGAGAGAGGGAGACACAGAATCCGAAACAGGCTCTGAGCTAGCTGTCAGCACAGAGCCCGACATGGGGCCCGAACCCACAAACCGTGAGATCATGACCTAAACCAAAGTCGGACGCTTAACCCACAGAGCCACCCAGGCACCCCTCTAACAGCTAACTTTTAAAGGTATTTTTCTTCTAACATTACCAAATGAGTAGACAATGTGACATTTCCTGGTTATTTTGATTTTTGTTTTTTTTTAAATTTTTTTCAGTGTTTTTATTTATTTCTAGGAGAGAGAGACAGCGTGAGCAGGGGAGGGTCAGAGAGAGAGGGAGACACAGAATTGGAAACAGACTCCAGGCTCTGAGCTGGCTGTCAGCACAGAGCCCGACGCGGGGCCTGAACCCACGAACCGCGAGATCATGACCTAAGTGAAAGTCGGACGCTTAACCGACTAAGCCACCCAGGCGCCACTGATTTTTGTTTTTTTATTGATAGAAAAATCATATATCTTTTCTCTTTTAAAATTTGCTGTATTTTTTTCTTCCCCAATTGATCATTTAACTGCTCACTTTTAATTGGATTTTTGGTCTTGTAATATTATTCTGTAGCAATTCTGTATGTTTTAATATAGTCATTCTTCTTGCCAAAAACACCACATATTTTTTCCATCTGGCACTTATCTTTTATCTTTATGTATCATCATTTATCCTGCGAAAAAATCAAATTTACATGTAAACCAAACAAAAGTCAAATCTCATTTCATCTTGCATTTTTCTACTGAAGGTGTTTTGCTGTTATTTACCAAGGAATAGTGTACATCTGTAGCTAAAATGCTGAAATTGAATGCACATATAATGGAAGGAGTTAAATTCTTCACGCCTTCTTTACGCATGCCTCTGGAGGTGCACGGCGGCCAGTGCCCCTCCTGCTGTAAAATCATTTCCACCCAGTGTGAGGTAGGTCTGTCCTTCTCATGTTACCCTCTTTACAGTGTCCTATTCTCTGTCTAGCGGCATTCACTATGTCTATGCTTATGAATCCAAATTGTGTAAGTCCTATTAATGACCCTGAATTTAAAAGGCAAAAGATTTATATGATCTGAAGAGAAACCAGAGTATTGACCCTGAATTTAAAAAACACAAAGCAGATTGAGAAACTTAGGTGCATTTGGATTGTGTCATTAACTTAACTGATAATTTCTACACAGTGAGGAAAATCAACTTCATTATTTGAGTCTTGCTGTTCTGTTTGGTGGATAAGCACTGCCATGTGTTCTTTGATCAGTCTTGCTGTGTTCTTTGTATACTCAGGGGGAGCTATGGTATAGAAAAAAATGGGCTTTAGGTTCTTGCTTTGAGTCTTGGGCTCACCACTACTGGGTATGAAGCATATTCATGCTGAGTCCTAATAGCAATAAAATGCAGATCACATCTATTTCTTGTGTCTGCCACATCTCAGTCAAGCAATGATTAGATTATCAGGTGATGATCTGATATGGGGACTAAACAGTGTACCTGCTCTGATGAGCACAAGTGTGTGGAAGTGTCAATCACTATATTGTACAGCAGAATCTAATGTACACCTGAAGATACATTGTACACATGTAACAAAAGGGAGAAGACTAGAAATGTCTTTGGCATTAAAAATTTTCTGTGCTCCATGCATAAAAGTTTATATACTTTGTCATTCAAAAGTAATGATTTACCTCATAAAGTAAGTTAAACATAACTGCTAAGACAGAACTACTTTCTAACTTAAGAGAATCATACTGTATTTCACAAACTATAAATTTATAGCAACTTAGGATTACTATAAGTTGTGTTTGATGTTGAATCATTCATTATAATTTAGTTCAGTTTCAATAAGAGTATTCAATAATTATCTACTGACTACTGTCTATTTTATATTTGTAGGAAGAAATATAAGTGAGTCACCATGAATTGGGCTAACGAGAGCTCCCCAAGAGAGTTTATACTACTTGGCTTCTCAGACAGACCCTGGCTACAAATGCCCCTGTTTGTGCTTCTATTAATATCATATACATTCACCATCTTTGGCAATGTGTCCATCATGACGGTGTGCATTCTGGATCCCAAACTTCATACACCCATGTATTTCTTCCTCACTAATCTCTCCATCTTAGATCTGTGCTATACCACAAGCACAGTCCCTCATATGTTGACAAATATTTGTCGCAACAAAAAGACCATCAGCTACGGTGGCTGTGTGGCACAGCTCATCATCTTCCTGGCCCTGGGAGCTACTGAGTGTCTCCTCCTGGCTGTCATGTCCTTTGACAGATATGTAGCGGTCTGCAAACCCCTGCATTATGTAGTTATTATGAATCATTGGTTCTGCTTAAGGGTGGTAGCCTTCTCGTGGTTCACTGGCTTTGGTAATTCGGTGTTGCAGTCTTCCTTGACTCTTAACATGCCACGCTGTGGTCGTCAGGAAGTGGACCACTTTTTCTGTGAGGTGCCTGCCCTTCTCAAGTTGTCGTGTGCTGATACAAAACCTATTGAGGCTGATCTCTTTTTCTTTAGTGTATTAATTCTGCTAATCCCAGTGACATTGATCCTCATTTCCTATGGCTTTATAGCTCAAGCAGTATTGAGAATCAGGTCAGCAGAAGGACGACAGAAAGCTTTTGGGACATGTGGGTCCCACATGGTTGTGGTGTCTCTCTTTTTTGGTACAGCCATCTACATGTATCTACAACCACCTTCATCCACCTCGAAGGACTGGGGAAAGATGGTTTCCCTTTTCTATGGGATCATAATACCTATGCTGAACCCCCTTATCTACAGCCTTAGAAATAAAGATATGAAGGAGGCCTTCAAGAGGGTGATGCCAAGAATCTTTTTCTGTAAGAAATAAGTATTCCATTGTGATGAGAATCCTCTGAGTTTCTATCGTTGCAGGTGGTGATAATGTTTGAACTGATTTTCCTACTTTCTAGGCTCTTATGATTTCACTGAATTCTACCAACAGTTAGAAACATCCTCCTGTTTTCAAAGCAATGCTGAGATATCTTTTCTAAATTAAAAACTCCTTGCTTTCCAGAAGTTCTCCCAATGCCCACTGTCCCTTGGGGACACTAGGATGGTTCACCTTCCCATTTATATATGATCTATTCTAGTACCATCTTGTCTATCATCTTACTGTACCATCTTAGTGTGTGATTTCTACACCTTTATCATTAAATCACCTATGATCTCAAGCCAAAAATTCCCATCAGCCTCCAAGCCCTCAGTCACTTCACCCTCACACCCCTTGATAAATCATCATGTGCTCCTTGCAGAATTGCTTGCGGTACATAGACTGCCTCCAATCTAGTGGGCTTCAACTAGTTAGGTGTGCATATCTCATACTAGAAGACTTGAAATGCCTGCTGAACTTCATTTCCTGCTCTATTCTTTTTTTTTTAATTTTAATGTTTATTTATTTTGGGGAGGGGGGAGAGAGAGAGAGAGAGACAGAGAGAGAGAGAGAGAGAACAAACGGAGGAGGGGCTCACGATGTTGGACTCAAACCCACTATGAGATCATGACATGAGCTGAAGTTGGATGCTAACCGTCTGGGCCATCCAGACACCACTTTCCTGCTCTATTTTTAATTCATACTTCTATTCCCCACAGATAAAATTTCTCCTTTTTTCCTCCTTTGTTCCAATCCTTATTTGTCTCAAGTTCTGCCACCTTTAAATTATAATGCTAATTATTTGCAGAAATGTTAACAGTAATCTTTTTTTTTCCTAATACTGATGTGAATTGACTCATTCCTTGGGCTGTCATTCAAAAAATGTTCATTTTCATTAGATAGCTCTAGACCACAGGAAAAATGATCAACAGTTCCTCCTGAAGAAATACTGTGTTTCCTAGAGGACATGCCCTTAAACCCAATAATAAAATGATTTGCAGTTTGCAGTGTAAGGACACAGATGAATCGGTATTTATGCAACATAGAAATGGTTACAAACAAAGGTTTTCAGAATTTCATATAACATTTTATATTTTCATATGATACATATAATATTTTCATATTAAATAAAGTTAGTTTAATGGTATTAAAATATGGAGTCACACACACACGCGCGCACGCACACACACACACACACACACATTGAAGCTGGAAATGTCACCTGAGGAGTCTGGGGTATATCCAGGTAGCAAGGCAGAATAATTTCAGCATTAAAGGTGCAGCATCAGTAGAAAATAACCACAAACATGTGCAGAATATGGCTCTTGTATAATTTTTATGTGGCATTTCAAATAAATGGGAAAGGGAACAACTTTAAGTCTCACAAAAAAAAAAAAGAAAAAGAAATGTAAGATGCTAAAGAGAAACAAAAACAATTTTCTCAAAAAAAGTAGTAAGAAATTTAAGATGCTATAGAGAAATGAAAATAATTACATTTCTCATACATGTGCATTTTTTAAATTTCCAAACCACCATATCCATTGTCTTCTATTGTTGAGTATATGATAATAATATCAAATTCAACACATTTAGGACAAGCATCTTCTCTTCTTTTAACCCAAAGTCCTCTTCTAAAGCTCACTATTTTAATGAAGGTGGTCACCAGTTGTCCACGTGTGCATATCAGAAACCATGAATCCTATCTTACACTGTAGTCTCCATAATTTCCCATATAAAAACCATTACCAAGACATCCCAATAATTTCTCTTAACTATCTATCTATCTATCTATCTATCTATCTATCTATCTATCTATAGAGAGAGAGTCTGAGCTCTTTTCCTTTAGTGTATTAATTCTACTAATTCCAGTGACATCGATCCTCATTTTATATGGCTTTATAGCTCAAGCGGTATTGATTACACACACATGCGTGCGTGCATGCGCGCGCATGCACACACACACACAGGAATATTACTCATCCATAAAAAGAATATGATATCTTGCTACCTCCAGTGACATGAATAGAGCGAGAGGGGATTATGCTAAGCAAACTAAGTCAGTCAGAGAAAGACAAATAACATCATCATTCATATGTGGAATTTAGGAAATAAAACAAATGAGCAAAGGAACACAAAGAGAGACATAGGCAGACCAAGGAACAGATTCTTAACTATAGAGAACACACTGGCGGTTACTAGAGAGGAGGTGGAGGGATGGGATCCATCCATAATGGGGATTGAGGAGGGCAATTACTGTTATGGAAAATGGTGTTGTATGGAAGTGTTGACTCACTGTATTCTACATCTCAAACTGATATTACACTGTATGTTAACTAACTGGAGTTTAAATTAAAACTTAAAAAAAAATACAGCCAAAGTGCCCATTTCAAGTGCAACTACAATTATTCCACTCTCCCCACTTGCATTATACATCATCAGTAGCTTTATGTTGCCCACTAGATAGAGACAGATGTTCACTCCCTGCCTTGAAGACTGTTCTCTCCCTTGCATTTACCCTATTTCCTTAAAGCACAGGACATTTGTGCATACTGATTCTTCTACCTGGAATACTCTTCCCACTGATCTTTACTTAGTTCCTAATTATTGAGCCCTCATCATTTATCTAGGGAATCTTTTTTTTTTTTTCCTGTATCCCTGAGTCAGTCAAATACCTACAAATTTACTCATCATGTGCCTCTCTTACTTATGTCATTTTTACTTGTTAGTGATCAGGTAATAATGTCTTCACCTACTGCTAACTTGTAAGCTCCATGAAAGTAAGAACAAAGTTTGGTTTGCTCACTGAAGCAATCACAGTACTCAGTTTTGCAGACAGAAAATTTAAACACCAAGTTATCAAAACCATGGGTAATTTCAACTAATGTATTATTTTCACTTATTCTGTAAAAAGAGTTTTCAAGGATGTTAAGTTCTCTAGGGCTACATACCCTGGTTGTTAAAAAAAAAAAAAAAAGTCCATGGTGGGATATAAACTTAAATTCTCAAAGCCTAAAGAAATTGTATTTCCCTTTAAAAATGAAAATCAGATTACACACATATGGTCATTAATAATCTCTTCTATTTTAAAAATAAATGGATTGCCTATAGTTTAGTAAAAGTGGTTTTATGGGGGGAAATCCTTCCTTAAATTTAATGTATTTAAAGCTCATCTTTCTTGATGTATTATCTTATTCCTCTTTCCTATTAATGTAGTTTTATATTTTTTCTTATTTTAAAAAATTTTTTTTAAATTTATTTTTGAGAGAGAGATAGAGAGAGTGCACACACAAGGAAAGGCAGAGAGAGAAAGGGAAACAGAATTCGAAGCAGGCTCCATCCTCTGAACTGTCAGCACAGAGCCCGACACAGGGCTCAAACTCAAAAGCTATGAGATCATGATCTGAGCTGAATTCAGACACTAAACAACTGGGATACCCAGGTGCACCTTCTTGTTCTTTTCATGTGCACTGTATCTCAGGTTATACCAGGATTCTATAAGATATAAATAACTGGTGAGGGCACTGCTAGTAAAGATTGGAATCACAATGATTCATGTTATACAGTAAAAAAGAAAGAAAGAAAGAAAGAAAGAAAGAAAGAAAGAAAGAAAGAAAGAAAGAAAGAAAGAAAGAAATGGTAAAAATATCACCTGCAATAATTTGAAAGGCGGATAAGGAATGCAATGATTGTAACTCTACAGGGGGTGAAAACCATTATTTGTTACTGCTGGATACAACTGACAAGATAATAATTCAAGAACTTGATGGGTTAGAAAAGACATTAAATCACTGTTTTAGTTCCAGATAGTCATATATAATGGGAAGACATCCTTTGAGTAACAAAGTCCAATTAATTTTTTTAATGTTCATTTATTTTTGAGAAAGCGAGAGTGCAAACCGGGACGGGGGGAGCAGCGAGAGTGCGGATGCAGAATCTGAAGCAGCTCCAGGCTCTGAGCTGTCAGCCCAGAGCTCGACGTGGGACTTGAACTCACAAACTGCAAGATCATGACCTGAACCAAAGTTGAACACTTAACTGACTGACCACCAAGGTGCCCCACAAAGTCCACTAAAATATAATTTCTAGTGATAATAATTGATATAAGGCTGTGGCAAGTAGCTGTTACTAAACTGTCTGAGTGGATTAAAATTGCTCCAAATATACCATTTTCATTGAAATAACTGGCTCAAGGAAAGGGGAATGAGGGAAAAGTGAAAAGAGAATAACCTTACCCACCGAAGTCTAAGAGGTTCAGTAAACCAATGACTAGACATACAGAAAGCCATGTCTTGACTACAGTTGTGGATACGATCATTGCAATGTGGAGCAGACTAAAATCAAATACATGAAAAGCTGACTACATTTTAGAGAGATTTATACCGACAACTAAAGCATGAATATGGATTAAAGAAGCTTCTGACTGTTTGAGATTTAAAATACCCCTGGACTCCAAACTTCATTAAGTGGGAAGGAAACTGAAATTCTCAGTTGTTCTCTTCAGATTTAGACACAGGATAAGGGACCTCAGAAAGAGTAGAAGCCAAGAGTTATGAAAAACATATGGAGACATTTCCCTACTCATGGGTGGAACTATTCACAACTGCCCAGTGGTTTTCAGAATTTCTAGACTTGTGACTTCCATTTCTGAATTTTCTCTTTCTTAATGGGAGTGTTTATACTAGTCATCTTCTTCCAGCTCTACCTATTAAATTTTGAGCATGTGGAGGACACACGACTATCTATTCAGTTCACAGATCTTTGAAGCAAGAGAACTCAAGTACAGACCCAATTGGGGAATTGAGCAGAGGCTCTGAACTTTGGGCTTATCTGTCACTGCATGGAAATGTTGTACTTGTTTCCTTTGGGGAGGGGGCAGATGTTATGTGACTATAAGGCAGACTGTGAAAGACTTTAAGACTGATCACAAATATATGGTTTCCTCCTTCCTTCTAGCCACT